GGGGGGGGGGGGGGAGGAGGTCAAAAGTTTTACGTCGCTTATGGACATGGACAAAAACAAAAGGAACCGCTCACCAGATCAATCTTCACACATGATCAAATGTCATAGCATCTGCGTCTATTGCCATATTTTGTCCAAAAGTTGCCACAAAAAATGGCGAAAGTTGTCATTAAAGTCGCTATTGATTTCCAAACTTTCAACTCTCTGTGACGACGTATATATAGCAATAAGTTTATAGAGGTAACTGTATCCAAAGCACCAGTATTTCTTGTGTTCTGTTTCAAGCATCCAGAAGATCATTTGTTGCCACACAGAGTCTAAAAACGTGAAAAATAAAGGTTTCCCAACAGAATGAAATCAAAATCAGAACAGCACACAAACAACCACAAAAATTAACAAATAAGGGCGTGTGTCCACCTATCCGAAGATTGGCTGTTTTAACCATAAATGTGTGTAATTCAAGAAAAAGTGCGGGATATTAAATGTAAATTATGGAATCACACACAAGGGGCGTGCCAGTGTCAGTATTCGGTTTTGGTGGAGACACGCTCGAACATAACACATTTTTTTTTTAAAGGTAGGAACTACATTAAATTAAATGACATTACGCCATATAAACACACACAAAAAGAAAAACAACACATCAGAACAATAACAGCACAAATAATTAGCGCACAAACAAATTAAAACGCACCAAAGAGGGACAGTAAATAAGAGAGAAACAGAATAATACATATGTACCGTCCTTATCTTCACCACAGGAAAATAACAAATTAACGTGGTGTCAAGTGAAGAGGAAGTGAAAATAAACTTTCTTTCCAAAAGTAGGAAAGTGTAAAGAGGTTCGGTTTCTTTTCTTTTTTTTCGATTTTTATTAATTTTTTAATCCTTTTTTTATATTTTTTATTCCCCGGCGGTGTTTTTGTTTGTTTGTAGTTGTTGTCGTTGTTTTTGTTTGCTGTTTTTTTAAATACAAAAATTGCAGTCGTGATTCGCGGACCAAAAATACCAAAAATCGCGGCCGCGACAAACACAGATGCCAGATCTCCTCTGTCTGGCCCAGCTCACCTGCACGGGCAGCGACACACCCATCACGTAGCCAGACTTGGAAAAGATTCGAACCCGTATCGCCTGGTCATCCTCAGTGACGATGAAAAGGCCCTCTCTACTACACCACCGGGACCTCACCAACACCTGTTCCCCTCCGCCACCGGAAGCTGTCACGTTTCTGACGTCATCAGGCCTGTACCGGAAGCTGAGCCCCAGGGGGCGTGGCACGTGGGGAGGGGCGTGGCATAGCGTGGGGGTGTGGCCTAAGGGATCGGTGACGTTGATTTGTACGGCAAACGATGAGCCTGGGTGGGGGAAATGAGATATGTGTGTGAGTGAGAGTGAGATGTGTGTGTGTGTGTGTGAGAGAGAGTGAGGGGTGTGT